TCCCAGTCACCCTTGGTCTCATATTGCATTGGACTTTGTCACTGGTTTACCCCCATCAGAGGGCAACACTGCGATACTCACAGAAGTGGACAGGTTCTCTAAGGCTGTTCATTTTAGGGTGCATTCACACCAGCCCTGTTTAGTCCGCTTTAATCAAACTCTAGCTCGTTTTCCTAGAAAGTCCGGTTTGTTTGGGGAGGTGTGAACGTGCCATCGAACTCTGTCATGGAACAAAAAGGTGAACTCTGGCCCGGGCTAAAACCTAGGTCTCAGTCCGGTAGAAAAGAACTCCAGCGCGGTTCGAATACAGTTTGAATGTAAACAGACCGGGCCCCGCGCCACAAGCAAGAAGTGGAGTACAGCACAGGGCAAACAAACGCGCATTTCTCTTACCTTATATGGAGCCATCAGCTGCCTTGTGTGAAAAGCAATATTCTCCATGGTCTTCTGCCTCATCTTCTGCTCATGCTAAGTCCATTTTTGAAAAATGACAAAATATAACTCCTAAAACTGCTAAAACTTGATGCCACTCCGTTTTTCTTTTTATTTCCAGAAGAAGAAGAAGTGTCTTCAGAGGTTTTTGTGTTGTTTCTTTCAGTAGTTTTTGGTGCAGTGCCCCGAAAGGCGAGCGGGGAATAGGTTGGTTCAACAGGTTGACTCGACTGCACAGTGCAGTGTGAATGCAAACGCACCAACTCAAATGTAAACAAAATGTCATGAATATTGGTCCCCAACCGAACCGAGTCTACTGGACTATCAGGTGTGAAAACAACCTTATTCCCCTTGTCAAACCTCCTTCAGCTCTGGAAACGGCCCACCTGTTAACCCAGCACGTGTTTCGGATCCACGGAATCCCTACTGACGTATCTTACCGTGGGCCTCAGTTCACATCCCAGGAATGGCAAGCTTTTTGCAGCACCCTTGGAGCCTCATCCAGTTTGACATCAGGCCATCACCCTCAATCTAACGGTCAATCTGAATGTTGCAACCAGGAGCTAGAGCCCACCCTGCGTTGTGTCATCGAAGATAACATAAAGTTAAGATAAGAAGATAAGTTCCAGAATTGTACCGCTCAAGGTGGCTGCATGTTGGAGCAGCTCTGTTACTTTCATTCTGACATTTTGCTTTTGGAAACTTTAATTCCTGTTTTTCTGGATGTAAGTCATATTTTTTGGATGATTGTTTCCTCTGGTGTCAGGTGTTGTGCAGCTGGAAGGATTTTTACTGAAACTTTTTTAGTTTTGGACATTTATGATGTGTAACCATTGCAACAAGGCAGTTTTCTACAACCAACAGCAGCTGATTAACATATCAAAAGCTCAAATAATATCTCAACTACAGCCCCAAAGCTCAAATGAGTTTAAAAGGATGTTCTGTGGATGCATTCTCATCTACCTGCCAGCTGTGCTTGAGTGCCTGACCACTGAGATCCTGGAATTAGCAGGAAATATGGCTCATGACAGCGGAAGGACAGGATCGTCCCTCGGCACCTACAGTTGTCTGTCCGCAGTGATGAGGAGCTCTGCAGACTGCTGGGAGGAGTGACCATCGCTCTGGGTGGAGTTCTGCCCGGCATTCAGGCGGTCTTACAGTCCAGGAGAACCGAGAGGCCAGCCAAGCCTGTGTGGACGGATTGGATGGCATCTGCAGCCAGTTTCTTAGGATCCACTGTGGGATGGACCTTGGCAAGAGATCCTTCCTGTCTACAGCCATCAGCATCTATAACATCTCTTAATGAAATGAGGATAACAAGTTACAACAACAAACAATTTCCCTTTGGGATTAATAAAGTATTTTTGAATTGAATTGAATTGAATTAACCCATCCTCTTGGAGTAAACATCTCTTGTGGGCAGAATATGTGCACAACACCCATACTTCTTCTGCCACTGGATTATCTCCTTTTGAGGCTTCTCTGGGTTATGCCCCACCACTTTTTCCAAACCAAGAGACTAAAATATCTGTTCATTCTGTCCAGCACCATTTCCGTCGCTGCCGCAGAATTTGGCGCCAAACTAAGGCTGCGCTCCTACGTACTGCCGACCAGAACAAGAGACATGCTGATTGCCACCGCTCTCTAGCCCCCAAGTACCAAGTAGGTCAAAGGGTTTGGCTTTCCACCAGAGACATTAAAATAAAGAACACCCCCAAGAAACTCTCCTAGTTTCATTGGTCCGTTCCCCATCATTAAGATAATCAACCCCTCTGCGGTACGTCTTAGACTGCCTTCCTCCATGCATATTCACCCCACTTTTCATGTATCCCAAATCAAACCAGTCTCAGAGTGTCCCTTGAGCCCACCTTCTGACCTCCCTCCACCCCCCCATGTCATCGACAATCACCCCACCTTCACTGTTAGACGTATTCTGGATGTGAGACGTCGAGGGAGGGGGTTCCAGTACTTAGTAGATTGGGAGGGTTATGGTCCGAAGGAAAGATCATGGATCCCGAGATCTTTTATTTTGGACCCCAGCCAAATCTCTTCCTTTTTCAGGGCCCACCCTGAGAAACGTCTAAGGTCGCCAAGAGGTGATCTTTGAGGGAGAGGTACTGTAGGGGTTTTCAGTGTGTTCTCTCCACAGACTCTTGAGCTCCTGCAGCAGAGTTAATCATGCTCAGCTGCTGGCCATCTCCCTAATTGCCTCCAGGACTATATGAGGTTGCAGACTTGCTTCATCCTGTGCCGGAGCATATCTTGTTGAGGGTACTTGTGCTCCTGGCCTTTCAGTGTTTATATATATACTGAAATACTTACCTGTGTGTCTTCTTCGTTTCTGACAGACCTTGGTTTTCCCTGCGCCTCCAGTCCTGGACGTTTCATGCATACCTGTGGCTTGAGCTGTACTTACCTGAGCTCAAGTTTCTCCTCGTGGACTCCAACCAAACTACTACCCCTCCTGCCTCGACCTCCACGCTCCACCCGTGCATCGACCTCTTGCTGGAATTTGGATTAATTATATCTCCACCCTGTGTCACCCCACCTGTCATTCACAGTAAGAGGAATATTATTTTTTCCGTCCACCATATCATCCATCCTCCACCCAATTAAGACACTAATCGTCTCCCCTTTCCCTTCCAGGGGTTTTACAGTTTCAGCTCTCGTGTGTATATAAGACTGTTTTTAGTATTATTATTATTATCACTGTAAAATCACCTTTTATTTATGATCCTGAGTCTGTTGTCCTTCAGTCCGTTCTTTCTGGGTACACTCCATTATGACAAATTATGGCTGTAATTAATTTGTTTTTCTTGTAATTTTTTTCATAGAAATTATATATGGAACAGTCCTGTGTTTTTTCTGGATTAGATTGATATTTATTTTAACACTTGATCTAAACATGCTGAAATATTTTACAGCTGTCTAATTTTTAGACAACTATTAAAACAGACTAAATCCAGCTCTTCAAAACAGTACTGTATAGGAAAAAAACGGGTTACTTTTGCTCAAGTTAAATACTTTTACGACTGAAAATGTATAAGTTTCCTTCAGGTCAAAGAGATTTGAGGTTCTGGTACTGTAACCCTGTTAACTTGTGTTAAACTAACTGTACTGCAGCTCGCTCACTTTTTCATTTGAAACCTGCAGCTTCTAGATCTCCTCCTTCAGCCAACGTGGGGGGGGTGGGGGGGGGAAAGCCTCCTGATTTTAAACAAAATTCATGTAGGTGCTAAAACCTTCTGCACTTGTCTTCTTCTTGTTTTTGTTCCTGCCATTGTTATTTTGGTTTTTGCAGTAGTTACTCTTAATATTAATTAACTCTTAAATCAATGTGCATTTTATTGAGCCATGTTCTGTTACCTCAGTTGTTTCTGGTTCTGTTAAGAGTTTCAGAACAAAAAGCTTTTATTTATGCGCCACCTTGTTTGATTTTAAATAATTTGGGTGAAGAATTGTTTATAGTAGTCAAAAGAAAAAATACAGATAAATTTGATAGAACATTTGGCTGCTTTAGTTTTAAAAAAAACTTTCTCATGATTCTTTTTCTTTCTCATGATTTAAAATAGCATTATAATACAATATATAGTAAAGTACATAGTAGTAAAGTATGATTAGGGGCCGAGATGGTGTAGAGGCAGGGCAGCCGGTTTGGGACCCGAAAGTCCCAGGTTCGATCCCCAGTCACTGCACATCACGTGGCGTCTCTGGGCAGCACGTCTAATCCCCAAAATGTCCCCCGGGCGCTTTCAATAGCTGCCCACTGCACCACCTGGTGGTGGATGGGTTAAATGCAGAGACTAATTTCGCCATTGTATGGAAACATACAGTGCTGACATTGTGATGACATTATTATTATTATTATTATTAAGTATTTTGTCAGAAGGGTTTGAGTTGTGCAGTACCGGAAATGACCACCAGAGGACACATTTCAAACAAAGACTACAAAAGTCTCTCACAAACGCACCACAGAGTTTGTCTTTCTATCTTTATGGGGACTTTGCATTGACTTCCATTCGTTTGTCATTAATTTCTATACCCTAACCCTGACCCACCAAACACTTCTTCTTATTTGGGCCCCATAACTCAATTCAAAAATACTTTATTAATCCCAAACGGAAATTAAATGTTGTAACTCATCATCCTGGTTTCATTAAAGAGTTGTTCTAGATGCTGATGGCTGTGAGGGTGAAGGATCTTTTCTAGTGGTCCATCCCACAGCGCATCTGAAGAAACTGGCTGCAGATGTGGATCCGTCCACCTGGACCATAAGGAGAGGTTGGTTCTCACAGTCTAGCATGTGTTGGACAAGTGGGTCTTACAAGGTAACAAAAACAAAGACCCCCCCCCCCCCCCCCCCCACACACACACACACACACGTTAACAGTGCAGTTTCTCTCCCTGGGATACATCCCTGCCCCCCCCCCCCCACCACCACCTTCTGCTGGGACAAAAGAACAGACAAAGCACTGCTACATCACAAACACATGGAAACAATCCTTTTATTGAAGAAACAGCTGTACAGAAACCAGAAGCGGTGTGTGTGTGTGTGTGTGTGTGGTGGTGGTGGTGGTGGTGGTGGTGGTGGTGGTGGGGGGGGGGGGGCTGTCGTCTGCTCAGCGCCGGTCGTCATACGTCGGGATCATGCGCCACTCGTACGATTCTGCAGCAGAAACATGCCGGCCTTAGAAAAGAGAAGAACTACACCTGACACAAAATGTGTGTGGTGGTGGTGGGGGTGGGGGTCTCACCCGGGTCCTCGTGACTCCTTTTCCCCATCACATCAACAAATGAGTTCACTTTATGTCCTTTGAAGGAAAAAGACATTTGATTAATGCGACCTGTCCAGTTGTCCCCCACCTTTCGCACAGTGACTGCTGGATATGGGCACCAGTGACCCCAGTGACACCATTGACCCCAGTGACCCGAAAAGGGAGAAGTGGGTAAAGATGATGGATGAGTGGATGGATGGGTGGATGGATGGATAATAAAAACAAAAACATTTTGGCAACACACTTCTGTTCCTTCTATTGTCGACTCAGATTTTAAACAACCTCTTTGCTGTTGTTTGTTGGAGTCTTCACATTTCTTTTTTCCTGCAATAAATATTTATAGAATACATTTGTCTAAGTTCTGTTTCTTTTCTGAGACAGAAGCAAAGAGAGATGCTGGCTGAGGGTGGAGCTCTTTCTGTGCTGAAATAACTTCTGTAAAACTGAAAGTCATTTAGTTCCAGGAAGGAGACACTTGTTTTATTTTCAGAAAACCTTTTCAGATAATTTCATCAGCTGGATGAACTGATCCATGGAGCCTAATGAGACAGGTCAGTCCCTCTAATGGACCTTAATCCCATAAAGCAGAGGCTCTGTATTGGATTGGTAATAGTGTAAAGCTCCAGAGAATCCCAGGAGAGCACTTTCTTCTATAAAACAAGAATCAATGCATCATTTAATCTGCCGGGATTGGTCCAAGCCGTCCCGTCTCATTTGGGTCTGCATCGTCTTAGAGGACGTCCTTGTAAGGACAGCAGTTATTCATCAGCAGCAGGGACAATGTGATTAAAGGGGACGTCCACCCGTCCCTCATCATGAGAGAACACCGTCTGTGTGAGGAAGACGATGACTCATTAGAAAAATCAGGGAAACCCCCCCCCCCCCCCCACCCCAGTGCTACAAATCTTCCAGTTTTCCGTCAGAAAGTGGACGAGATATCGCAGGCTTCGTTTGATCCTTGTGCAAAAATAAAAAGCCTTTACCCAGAGTTAATGCTGCTGAAATACTGTAGGAAGGAAACACTGGACATTACATCATTCATCTGTTCAATATGACCTCATTTATTCTTTTCAATATGTTATCTTTTAAAAATGACATACAGCGTCATTTCTCACAACATTTCTGTCCTTTAATTAGAGAACTGAAGTTTTTTTTTGTAAATTTCCAACAGGTTTCTGATTTGTTTTTTGAACGTGCTGAGTTAATAATGAACAAAAGATAAACACTTTCCTCTTTTCTTTTGAAAGAACTGTTAAATCAGGACAAGTCTGCTGCTTCCATAGACAGATCTTTACTAAGTGGCTTTTCTATGTATGTGAATGTTCCTTTGTTCTGAATTGGTGCTATATAAATAAACTGAATTGAATTAAATTAAAGGAATTATATGTTCTTCAGTCTTTGTCCTGTGAGGGACAGGGTATGGAACCACACAGGTCCCCGATTCAATTCAATACAATTCAGTTTATTTATATAGCGCCAAATCACAACAAAGTTGTCTCAGGGCACTTTACAGGAACATTCACATACGATGAGAACTGAACTACGGGCAGAACGAAGAGGAACCACACTCACGTTTGCAGGTGATCTGTGCGGCATTTGCTGCAGGAGAACAGAGAAGAAAAGTTCACGTCATTGTCAGCAGAACCAGAACCAAAGCTTCCAGCATCAGGAACAAGTTCTCACCCTCAGAACGTTTCCCCATCAGGCCGATGAACTGATGAGGGCGAGGCTTCCTCGTCATCCTCAGCAGGATTTCTCTGAATGGGTCTCTGGAGAGCCAGTCTCCCTGTGGGGGGGGGGGGGGGGGGGTGTTTGGATCAGTCAAGAACTAATAACCAACAACCATCTGTCATCAGAAACATTTCTGAGAGTCATCTGCAGAATGATGGAAGAAACTGATCAGAAAAATTCAATTCTCCTGAAAACATTCTTTCATGTTGGTGTTCTGATGGCTTGTTTCTATTTCCAGCTGAGAATATATTTCTTCTGAAGTCCGCCTGAGACGGGAGGGATGGGCAGACTAATAGCCCCCGCTCAGCTCCACTGATTTATTGAAGACTGATTGGAGTGCAGGATGGCCCCCAGCCTTCAGGAAGCTGGCTCATCTCAAGCTCACAATGCCAACCAGGACCAGAGTCCTCATTTCCTGTCGTCAGCCACAAGACACAGAGCTACAGTAGAGCCTGGTCTCAGGTCTCTGCAGGATCCTGGGATCAGGTCATGATCTCAGGATCCTGCATCTTTTAACCTTTATCTTTTAAAAGATAAAACGTTTCAACAAAGAACCTGTCCAGAGGATGTGACTTAGCCTTGTTAGAGCCATCTACCTGGAACACTGAGCAGCATCAGGACTAAAGTCTCATGTGTTTTCTTTAACAGAACTGAATCAGTTCTCTGTGGAACAGTATTAGTGCCTCAGTGCAAAAGTTAACTTTGGTTAATTCTGAATTTTTATTACCCAAAGATTATTATTGTTTGAAAATATTTTTTGGAAAAGATTTTTTTCTTCTTTCGGCTGCATTTCCTTTTATTTGTGATTGTATTTCTTATTGTATATAGAATTGTTTTGTTTAAAAAAACGAATATATTTTATAATAAAAAAATAATTTTTCAGATGCTTTTTCTTCACTGTGGAATTAATTTACACTAAAGGAACAGTTTATTTTGATTTGAAACTTTACCTGATTATTTTGTTAACTCCTCTATATATCTATATATGACTATGTATATACACACACACACGCACGCACGCACACATCCACACACACACACACACACATATATATATATATATATATGTGTGTGTGTGTGTATATATATATA